TATATAAATTCTGATACACGGATGGAAAGGTTTTTTTATTTGATTTCAAAACTATTTACAAACACTAATAGTGATATAGGCTAATGATGTAGTGATGTAACATTTACATCAAACCACGACTGAAATACTTAACACACCCTTTTATTGAACATAACCTATAATTTAATATTTTTTTATAATTTATTTACCACTCTTTTTATGATTAATCTGTTTGATCATTGTATCGGTGGTCCAAAAATAACTCTGGGGGGAGGGGGAGAGCGTTTGATTATGTTGTATCGGTGGTCTAAAAATAACTCATGAGAGGGGGGCCCAAAAAATAAGTTTGCAGAGGGGCCCGTACAAATTTGTTACGCCACTGGACTTTGCTACCGATGAAGGGGGTGCAGAGATATTGCCACAACCACGGGATCTGGTTATAATTTCTTCCTGACTGCGGGGAAATGTCAAGATTTTGCCGCAATCTCGAGTGGTGGTGATCATGTCTTCGCGACCACAGAGGAATATAAACATATTGCCTCCATCACGAGAGGCAATGATGATTTCTTTGGGACCACGGAGGAATTTAGAGATGTTTTTCCTCAATCACGGGATATCTTTGCAGTCTGTGGGAGTGGAAAATACTCTCAATTTTGCCTCTGTTGCGGGAGATGTTGGTGCGGTAGTGATCTAGATAGGGACGCAATCCAAAGTTAACATTATGATGCGGGCATATAATTGACCAGTCTCAGAAAAGACAATTGGGGTAAAGTTATTTATATTTTCTCTCTCCTTCGGCGGCTACCTGACCTTATGTTTGTCCTTTTGTGGCTATTTCATTATTTATAGTTAGTTTGAAGTGACCTTCCCTAATTCTCTTAATGAGCATGGTTATTTCATCAATTAAAAATTATCCAAATAACATGACTATTTTATTGTTACAATAATTTAGTACTGAAAAAGCCTAAACCTACTAAAACATACTAATTAACATTTTGTATTGACAGTTAGCTGTATTTTTTTACTTTAAAAAATCGTTGAAATTTTGGCGCTGGTGTTATAAGGAGCAGGTGACTATGTTAGGGGATATAAAGGGTCAGTTTGAATTGGGGTGATTTTCACCCTTGACCTTGGGGGAAAGGGCATCTCTGCATCATCTGCAGTTAATCATGAATTGGTTTGTAATTTTAATGAGAAAATTGAAGAAAACCCTTTAAAATTAAAGATCACTGAAGATAAAATTTAAGTTTCACTAAGAGTAAAAAGTAATTAATTGGATAACTGGGATTTCTTAAACTTTACGAACATTGGGTGCATAAAGTTATTACTGAACAGCACAAACAACAATGGATATTTCTTTCAACAAATCAGGCAGTGCACTTGATTTGTTGACATTCTATGACGAGGGTAAAGAGATATTTAGGGTAACGAGACATTAGAGTAACGAGACATTACTAACGCAAATATTCATAAGGGATGAAACTTGAATTGCTTATTAACAATATACCCCAGAAACCAAACATCCCCAGCCATTTGAATATGAATTACATATTTCACAAATAACGGGATTTCTCATTAATGCAGCCATTATAAAGAAGCACCATGAGGTGTGTAGACGCAACAGTTAACTCAAAATACCGCAATTTCGTCCGTCTTTGCTCAAAGTTACTGCTGCACATGGATAAGACTATGATTGCAGCATTGCCACAGAGAAAATGGAGGCAGGATTTAAGTTACTTTCCAAATACACCTACCAAATACCAATCGCGTGTATAAATTATATTAGGAAAAAGGGAGACACTTTTCTATTTGCTGTTGGACAGTACACTTGATCATAAAACCACCACGTTCTTGGATTGGAAGTAGTTGCTATTATATTTGCTTCTTATCTTCACTGTATTAATGATATAGCAAATAGTTCGTAACATTTGGATTCCGACTGACTTTTGACTGTAGATCCAAGTTTATTAAAGCCAACAGCAGAAATTAACTTTTGGTCAAATGTGTTATTTAAAAGCTAATGAATGATTTTAAAAGTTGTACTAAATAATATGAGTTTTCTCATCTTATATTGTATATCATTAAAGAACTAACAATAGTACCGGTACCTACTCTATTATACTTTACCATACACAAATTACAAACATTGGTAATAACTGGTAAGAAATCATTACTGTGCTGGAATCTGTAAAAGTATAGAGAAATACATTATCAACTTACTAATAACAGACTGTCCTTAAGTGAAATAAAACACTCAAGAAACAGAAAAAAAATTAAGGAGGCTGTGGACAAAAGGTAAGACACATTAGACAAAGACACGAGACAGGGATACACAGGTAGGAAATTTTCAAAATGGCTGCCGATCCTTTTACTCTCTCTTATGTAATTAAAATAATGAATAGTTTATCGATCGCCTATATATATATTTCAATTTATGAATATACATGATAAATTGAGTTCTTAAAATCTTAAAATTAAAAATGAAAGAAATCAAAACGAAAAACTAAGCTAACAAAGTTGTCACATTTACAGAACAAATTGTGGAAAAATTTAAAAATACACACTCGGACACTTAGAGATGAAAAAATAAATAAAAGTAGCGAACAGTGCACAAAACAAAAGGACAAACACTTGCTCACACAATAATGGAAATAAAACTGTAATGTGGATCTGAGTCAGTGACAGCTGATGATTATTTTGGCTAACTGTGTTGGGCAGTATCAAAGTTATTTATAAGAAGTTCAAATATAATAATGTGCTATTTATAGTGTTCAAATGTTGAATGTTTGTTAGATGGATCACAATTAATCATCTCAATCAAACCAGTGTGTGTGTGTGAATCTACCGCCAATACCACTTCAAGGCTTTTCAAATCAACACAATCACTGTTTTATTGTAATATTATCGGATATAAAATGCATATCGTATAGACCTAATAATCGGATGAAAGGAATTGGTGGTCTTGTGATATTTGTTTACAAGATGATTTTCCCTAATTGCCAGAATGTTTCTTTATGCGTGTAAACTAGCTGTTCTGAATTGTATTCAGTTTTAATCGACTACTTGATTCTCGTACGTAGGACGGGCCAACAGCTAGTTATACTTATTCTTAGATCCATCAAGTAAGATAAAAATTTTGACATTTACCCCATATGATGTTTGGAATATTTAGTTGACCCTCTTAGTTACATCTAATCCTACTACTGTACAGGGTGTTTATAAAAGAATGCTAAGATTTTTAAGGGTTGTTGCTCGGGGACTAGTCAAGATAATTAAATGATTTAAACGTCAAATTGAAGGAAAAAGATTTAAGTTTTTTCTCATACTTTGATACAATTCGGAATAATTTAATAAAATTCAGATTTTCATCAACAATCTTATATGAGGGTAAAACTGGCTAAGTCTCTACGCTTAGGGCGATCGTCGGGTTTATCTGATGTCTTAAATGAATCTTGTTAGGCACAAAGGCTCTATCTTTTACAGATAACATCATAAAGTGTTGATTTAGGTTTGTTCAACTGAAGACTTTGTCGGGCAATCGATTTTTTGGGGGCTTTTGATGCAGAATTGTCGCATTTCTTCGATGATGTCATCGCTTGTTTTTAGCCAGCCAGCTGTCTTTTCAAAACACTGTGTAGCTCATTAAACCGGCGTCAAATTTCTTTATCATTAAGTAGATTTAAATTTAGTTTAATTTAGCAATCGATATAAACTCTCTGAACCACAGATTACACTCATTGTCTTCTGTTGCACCCTAAACATCATACTGGCATCGGACTGGCACCATGCGCAAAACTCGCAATAGAGGCCTACCACCCCGGACCTGTTTTGCGCATGCCAAGGTCAAAGTTTCCTCCCTTGCTATACGGGAAACAAAACTTAGTTATTTTAGCTTCAATTTTAGTGCGTATAAAAAGTTTAGGTACCTTGAATCAACAATCAAGAATACAATTACAATTTTAAATCCTGCCATTCTTTTAAAAACACCCTGTATTTACTTATCACAAAAACAATAAACCAACAGTCATTTAACTGTGAAAAGTGTTGTCAATTAAATGATTTAAATACTTCAATGATGGTGATTGGTGGGTCAAAACGGATAGTAGAATCTTGTTCTTTGTCAGATGACACATTGTTGTACTGGCGAAAATACTGACGAATGTTTCAGATGCAATCTAACTTTTGGGCAATCTACAATTCAAGTAAACTTTAGCAGTTGAATCGTAGCTTTCTCCAAAGATAGAATTTTACGCTGCATCCAAAACATCAACGATTTTCACTGGTTCCTCAACATGGTCATCTGTCACATAGTTAAATCTTTGGTTTAGTTTCTAGTCATTCCTGGTTACAAGGGATATATTAAAAAAAGTCATTATGTAGCCCCTGAACTGTTTAATTAGACAATTATAAGGCACATACCGTACCTTTTTTACCTTATAAAAAAGATATGCCTCACCTCAGGTAAAAGTTTTGAGATACAAAAGTGTTCACTTATGGTATCAAAAATATATATACAATATATATTTTCATAACCAAGCTATTTATGATTAATTATGAATGATTATTTAATAAATACTTTAGTCATGGAAGAGGATGAGAATCATATTGCAAAACAGAATGAATACATAACTAACGTAAAGTCTAAGTTAGATACAAACTTGACAAAAGAAAAACAAATTTCAGTAAATCTCTTCACTTTTTATGTAAAATTTGCCTTTCTGCTGTCAAACTGATGTTCTTTTACTGCGCAGTGAACATGTGACATATATTTACAATGGGTTTCTATATTCCTTTTTTCACTAGTACCTTATTCTTTAAAAAGTCTTTTAGCCGCTGTCACCGACTAGCACTGTGGATTGTGGATTGTGTAAGGGTACATCCAATGCAACATACAGTGAGATGGGGCTTGTGTGTAAAAATGAAAATACAAAGCTACATAACATGTATAATTATTGTGAAAAGTTTAAATAAATAGAAAAAATGATATTACCAATGAGATTATTTGGGATCTGATAACTTACCGAGGAGAAAATGAGTTCCAGAATTGACTAAACGGGGGAAAGGGCAAAGAGAAAAGGAATAATTACCATATGTATGACTTGGCAGTTGGAGGTCTTGTAGATAGTTGAGAATTTAAAAGAATTTGAAACAGTTGCAAAACTATGAATTTCTAACATATATATTAAGGGATTGTTTTATATGATGATTGAATAGAAAGTGTGATTAAATAAATAAGTATACATTTAATTTAGCGATTTTGAAAAGGAAAAAGTATATTAAAAGCTTAAAGGTTATCAAAAGATGAGAGTAACTAATACAGCTCTGTCCAAAACCAAAACGAGAGGACCTTTACGATGACAATGTAACAACCCCAGCAAGATTATTTAATGTGCTTTATTTACAAGTGGTAATTTTAGCTTTAAAATGTTAACAGAAAGTACAATATGTTTCACATCTCAAGTTAATTGAGGAAAACTAATGGGACTCACATTTTTTTTTATCATAGGAGATTCTAACTAAATTCATATTAATCATATATATATAAGGTTTCCCTTAACCCTCCAAGTGTCCATAGTTTAGGCCTTAATGCAATGCTTAATGTTTTTGGCGCATTTGCAAGGTTTTATTAAAACGGATCTGAGAAGCTTAAAACAATGTTAATTCTAATGTTCTATATACCATTTTGTTTGGAAAATCATGGGCTTCAATATTATATATAAAACATAAGGAACATTTTTTCAAAAAAAAAAATTTTTAGGTAAAAAAATATAATTTCAAAAATTTTCAAAAAAAAATAAGTTCGCGCTCAATGAAATTGTATAAATTATAGGCCTATAAATATTTGAAAATAGCCACTTTGTTCTAAATTTTATGAGGATTACAAATATATAATAATATAAGGAAGTATATTTGCAAATAAATAAGTTATGGGCAAAAAACTGATTTCAGTACATAGCGTTTAGCTAAGAATGCATAGCCTAACCATAGCTAGGAATCTGGCTGATAATTTACATCAATATCACTACCTACTTCTTCAGGATCATCAACCAGCACTTCAAAACCACTTAAATCTTCTTGTAATGCACCACGTATATCACTACTTTTGATTTTTAACATTAAAACAATGATAAACGTAATAAAACACATCAGTCATCGGTCCGGGGGAACCTAGCTGTTTACAAATACACGCACGTCAGCTGTCTGCTACAATATTTTCGGAACTAAAATGAATAGCGCTTAGAGACAGACCTCTGGAGAAAGCTTAGAATATTACGGAAAGAACGATACCTAACTCGATCCAGTTCAATCCGATTCAGTCAGTCATAGAGCCTTCGCCGTAAACGATGTCTGCGTGTCGAAAAATCGACAAGTAACACTACACAAAGTGTGCTGCTTGTCGAATTTTCGTCAAGTAACACTGGGAGGGTTAAAAAAATTATTTTTGAAATATGCATTTACAATTCAATTTTATGTTTAAGATACCCCAATCAGGTATACTAAAGTCAACTTACTATAATTATGTTTTTTGTGATATACATAAAGATTCCCCTAGTTTCAAAAGTGCATGGGTGGTTTTGGACAATCTGTAAGTCTCTTCCAAAACTAGAGATTTTGGTTATTAAGTCCAAGTACTCAAACAGTTCCAGTATCAGTAATATAATAATTAACAATACCACGCTCCTTAGTTATATCTGTGTAGCAATGCTTAGAGTTTAGAGCATACTTCAGTAATTTCTTGATTCCGATGAAGGATAAATATGGTATTGCCAGTTTTGACTACATTTTTAAAATAAATGTATTTGTTCTACATTTTTTTTACTTGACAGGTTTTTATTTATTTTAGTTAAAAATGTAACATGTGAATTTTCCCTTTTGAGTTTTCTTACTGGAACTCAGAACAGAATTTTCTTTTGCTAAAATAGGTTTGCTGAAAAGTGCACCATAAAAGTTTTTCTAACAGCCAGAAAAAAGTAAAAACACTAATAGCGGAATCTTAGTGTGAGTCCTAGATTAATATCCATTCATTTTAAGACACGCCGAGACACTGGAACGTAGTGTTATTTGGACTTAAATAATAACAGCTTGAAATTTTAGGAAGGGCTTTATCGACACATGTATCTAGCAATAACGTATTTTTATAATTATCATAATCTGTTTAGGGAGTTAGAAAACCTTAGCAGCTTAATCTAAAAGAATCAGTTTAACGTACAATTGAGAAATTATTTATAAAAGCATTATAGAATTTAAAATATTTGTCCACAAAATTTTATTATGTTAATTATATGCTTGAAATGTTTACTACGAAATTACAAATCATGTTTTTTCCAAACGCTACAAAACCTCCAGATTTTAGGCCACTAACAATAGTCGACCTAAAAATAACATTTATACTGAAAATTATATCTTAAACTGTAATAGTGGAGAGTTGAAAAACGAAGTTACACTTGCCATGCCAACTGATAAGTGGATAGGAACGGAAAGGTCAACACACACACAGAGAGGAGGTGGTCATGGAAGTGTATTGATAAGTCCTCGACTGATCATCTGATCATCTGATCACCTAACATCTTGACTGTCGCCGAGCCATTGAGCCATTAGGATAAGACACTACACAGTGGGTGTAAGGATGGAACAAAACAGCACATAAAGTACATTGTAGACAACACAACAAGGGTTATGTAGGATACTAAAGAAAAACAAAAACAATATTAAGTCAACAGTTTTGACAGTTCCAAACCACTAGTGATTACCGACAATAAGTTGAACTCTGAAAACTTTGTGACCGACCCACCACAAATCATAGATTTAACTGGTAGGTCAATTTACGGCTACACTGGTCACAGAGTACGAAACTAAGGATCACAGTCAGTGGCTGCTCTACTCCAATGAAACAAGTGGAACCAAAGCCAAATCATTTGAAAAAAGAGCAGAAAGCACTAGAAGCACAAAGGAAAATTACAGTTGTGGTAGAGATGCGAACTAAACGGAAAAAAATAAAACAAGACCAAACCAAAAGTGGATGAATGTTTCACGGTACTTACTTAGTAGGCTAAATCAGTTTAAAAAAATTGGATAAAAAGGTGGTCGGGTTGATATAGTCAAGGGTTGTTTAAAAATTAAAATTTCAAAGTGTAATTTATAACGAATAATCAAGGAAATTTATAAAGATATTTAATTACTTTAGCTAATTATTAAGTAAAAGAAGTTGTTAATCAAACTTTATTTTCTAAATATTTACTTACAAAGTTTTAGCTGCACAAAAGCCTACATAGTAATGATTTTGTGGATAAACTTGTATACTTTCTATATCTTGATAAATGTTTGTAAGTGTAAAGCAATGGTTAAACATAATGAGAATAATAATTGGAGTGGTTTTGAGAAGGCAAGCCTCTTTGAAACATGTTTGGATAAAGACACCCACAAAGAAGCTAGGCCAAGGGAATGAGGTGAGGAGAGGCGAGGGCGAGGGGTTTGGGCCACACACACAAGACGTAGACACAACACAATGGAAGGGAATAACTGAAACAGCGTCCTTAGCAAAACCTCATTTAATACAAAATAATGAATTAGGTTATTAGTTTTTCAATAACTAATTTTTAAAATTTTTCCAAATATTGTTTGCTAAACTCTGGAGTTAAATGGGAATTTGATAAAATATTTGTTAAAAAATAAAATAAAAGAATTATGATTAAGTAGAGTTATTACAGTAGTTTAAAACTCAATATTTTTATTATAGTTGTTGACAAAAAGGTTTAACAATTCACATTATAAAAATTGTTTTGAGCTTTTAAAATTGATAGGTAGTCGAAACAAGTGGATTTTATTTTTCTATCAATTAATATCCCTGAGAGCTTGTTAAGACTAGTAACTGTTCCAGTTGTTGAAGGGTAATAGTGTTCAACCCCAAAATCCTAGAAAAGATTTTGTATTTAAGATACAAAATCCTGAACTAGAACCATTGGGATAAACACTGCGAGGTTTGAGGGTAATTGACATGGAAATTATAACACAAAAGGTGTAACAGTACACTTAAGAAAAAAATAAAATGTAAAAAAAATTAAAGTTTTTACAACACAACACTTAGTGCAATGTATTGCCCATGAAATATAACTACACTTTTAGAAACAAAAGTATTTGCACTTTGTATCATAATAGTATGTTGAAAGTAAGTTAAGAATTATTTAACAGAAGTTAATTAGAAAAATACAGTAGGTAGCAAAAGTGTTATGTTAAAATTTTACATCCTTTGTAAACTATCAGTTGTACAGCATATCACGAAAATATTCAATATCATCTACTAAAAACGAATAAACATATAACATTACAAATGCTAATGAAACACTTGAAATTTGTCTTACTCAAAATATATAATACCCTCTCCGTGTACAAAATGAAGTTAAACATATTCAGTTGATCACTTAACTGTATAAACATTCTTAGACATTGAATCTGATCTAGGCTTACCTTTCTGTGTACTCGTCCTGGTGGACATAGCTTTGAACAGAGTTTTCCTCAACCAAAAACTTGACTCTCTGATAGAACGAGGCGGTGACCGACGGCGGTTGTTTCCGAAGAAGCACTTCTACGGGATCGTTGGATGCCAGACACATAATGTGTTCATTACATGCTGGGTGAGAGCAGCACTCACTGTCTGAACAGTCTACCATGCCATCTGCAAGGGATCAGCTTGTTGGGTGTTGTATCATAATCTCAACATATTAGTTGATGTTCGATAAATACTATTAATCAAAATAGCAGGCCTAAAAGAAATACTGCAATATTGTTAGGTGAAGGTATATGTCTAATATTTCATTGGCAAATTATAACCTGTATAGAATAGATTGAGAATCTGTGCTACTTCACCTTAGAAAAGGCATAGGGTTATAAATTAATATGATTTGTTGCTTAGGTCACAATGTATCTTCTTTACTAGATTTTAAATATTTTTTATTTTTGTAGCTACAGAGGTTAATTAAATTCACTTCAGAGGGTCATATTTGGGTACGAAGGGATGAATCTGATTTAGTTCAGGTGAAGCAACTACAAAAGATAATTCAAGGGGTAGGAAAGTTCCACAAATGAATGATACATTTTGAAGTTGATACAAGAGTTGTATTTATAGTATCTTTTTGCAATTATGATAGTAATACCTTGGTCATTGTCAACCTCGTCATTACAGTCCATCTCCAGCCTGACGCTGCAGTCCACACCTGCCCAGCCATCACTGCATTGGCACTGGTAATCTCCATCCACAAGCACACAGCTGCCGTGGCGGTTACAGGCGTTTACACACCCGGCTACGTAACCAACATATTATGACACTAACTTGTAATAATCCGGTTACTAGTTAGTTACACAAATACAGGTAAAAATTATTTGAAAGCTTACTCATTTCTGGTATACTAAAGTAATGGCTGCCTGAACATTTTTCATTTTATCTATTGTTAATCTAAGGGAGCCAGTCATGATTTTTGTTTAGATGACTCTAAAAAATTAACTGTCTCCTCAGGCCTAAACAGAGAATTAAAAGTGATAATTTTCAAACCATTTCTATAACCTGTTCAACTTATTATTCAAGTCTTGTCCATATTGTGTAAAGAGTAACGTTTTTGTGTTTCTTGAGCCATGATACATTCTTTACTCAGGTATGCCTACTATCCCAAAAATCCTTAAGCTAAGCCCTTGAGTGCTATATGTTACGTAAACATTATATAAAACCAAACACATACGTAGAGTGCAGTGTCGGCCATTCCAGCCCTGTGAGCAGACGCAGGTTCCGTTCTTGCATTGTCCGTGTTCCGCACAGCGTGAGTCGCAAGGTAGCAAGTCACATCGCTCTCCGCTCCAGCCAGGCAGACACACACATTGGCCTTGGTCACAGCGGCCATGCACGCCACAGTCTAGGCTGCAAACAGCTGGAACAGACAATCATCATGGTAAGACACTAAATGGAGGGAAAAACACCACGACACAGTGTTATGACCTAGTATATTTAGCATCATGGACTTTGGTACGAGAGGGATACGTTCAATACCTAGCATATTTAAAATAGTTTGAGAGTTTTGGACCATCCCATAAAAGTGTTTGTGATAATAAAAAAAATCTTCTGTAATTAGATACAAAATAAAGTTGTACAAAGAAGTGTTAAAGTCCTAAATTTCTTTTTAAAAAGGGAACCCAGGTAAAATGTCCAAGAATCTAAAGACATCTGAAAGAGCTGTGAACTTGAGGAGATGAACATTATGGAAAACTGGTAAATCACTTGAGAAAAAATGTTCCTTTGTACTGTAATACGTTAGGTTCTAAATCTAGATTATATTTCTACAATGCCAACACAATTAGGAGTGTTTATTTGGGCAAAAATGACTGAAGGATTTAGCATGAGATGATAGCTTTTTTGCTGACAAGATTCTTTATAGCCAGGACCATTTACATAACGCCTAATGGTCAAGGACAGATGAGTCCTATATCAAACCACTCAAAAAACTTTAATGAATTTTCTCAGAGATTGAACCAGTAAAATTCTAAATCTGTAAGCGAACACTATAACCACTCACCTACCCAGCTCCATATGTAGCACATTTTATGTGAAATGTCTAATTGGAGAAATAAGGCAATGGCTGATGTCTAGATTTTTACCTATTAAAGGATATAATGGAATGGTAGATTTTGATAAATTGTAAAAGGTATTAACTTCATGAAATTAATTTAAAACAAGTCTAGGTAAACAGTTAACCTTGAGAAATACCAACTTCTTTGTCAAAAGCCGTAAGAGTTAAGTATGCATTTTTTGTGGTTTGTATAGTCAGCTTATGTATTTTCCTACAGTTACCTAACAATGTAGATGTTCTCTCACTGATTTGAGAAAGCAAAGTGGCCAATTCGCTCATCAGTGAGACAATGTTAACATTGTCTCACTCTAATTACTTTGTCTCACTCCAGATTTTCAACGTGAAGGCACGAAATAGTGAGCGCGTAACATGCGGGCAACGTCGTATGCGCGCGAAATGTTGGCAGCACTGGCTGTAAATCAGCTGGTCAGCTGTTGTACTGTTGTATTTGTCACTTCACATTAAATGTTATATTAAAAGTTCACTTCTGTGTAAAAATAGGTTATGTTTCTTCACAAATTTATTTGTTTTATGGTATCTGTAGGAAAAGTATAATGTGCAACTCGAGTTCAAAGTACAATTGCCTCACTCGAGAAACCATTCCTCACTCGCCTACGGCTCGCGAGTAAGGATTTCTCTCGAGTGAGTCAATTGCTCACTTTTCTCACTAGTTGCACAAATAACTATTTTAGACCAAATAATCATTAGTTCTTGGTTCTATAACCTTTGATAGTGGTTTTAGTTAGTAATGTGTGGGACTTCAAAGAGTTTTGTTTGTAGGCTACAAAAAGTAAAAACTACCTTGAGAACAATCTGGACCAGTCCAGAATTCCTCGCAGATGCAAGCTCCAGTCTCCAAATCATACGTTCCATGTTCTGAACACCCTGGAAGACACTGGTACACCTTTTGGTCCACCTGTTAATCAGATAGTGTTGTTAAAGAGTGCATGCCACTTTATTTACCAAAACCGTACAACATATATTTACTATCGCCACCCTGCGTTGAGCCACAATTTGTGGAATCTTCAAAGTCCTTGGCCTTGTCTTCTTAACACTTCGCGGACGGGTGAGGGATATATCTGCCTAAGTCTTTGGCAATAAAGGACGGGTGACGGATATATCCGCATATGGTTTTTGAGGTTCTGGACGGGAAGCGGTTATATCCGCCCTTTCTTCAGACAGACTGGCAGGTGCTTGAGCAGTAACCAGATGTTTCGCGGTACCAAGGCGCTCCATCCTGCTCTTTCCATGACTGCTCTCTCCCCCGCACTCCCCCCTCTCTCCCGCGCCAACCCCTCTCCTGCGCCTCACCCCCTCCCGCGCACCTACCACCACTCCTACGCTCCCCCCTTGACGTTTCGTGCTCAACATTACGTTGTCTTTATTTATTGTTTGCATATTGTTCTTTATTTATTTTTGTCTATGGTATTATGGAGAATATATTATTTTTTCCACACAAAAATTCATAGATAAAAAAATCCTCAACTGTCCACCAAAGAATACTCAATGATAATCAAAAGCAAGGACAAAAGTATCATGGTGGTTGAAGTTACATGGGTAAGCCTGACTGCAGAGATTAGAAAGGGTAGGCAGCTGCTCTTGAACAAGCAATATGTTTTCTTTACCAATGTAAGATTATAGCACCGAGCTATTTGATGGTGACTTTTATGGCGAGAAAAACTAGTTTAAACAATCTGCACTTATGACACAACTGTAAAATCCCAAGCTACTTACATGGAACCATATAATTTTAAACACCCCTCAATATCTCGTACTACTATCTATGAATTGACTATATTAATACACACTTTTTTGAGGTATTGACAAAATAAGTCAATGTCTTAGTATAATTATTTATAGTAATTCTAACCTAAATAATGGAAATGCAAAATATTAGCTTTTTTTAAACTGTTAAAGAGGATTGTAAAATTTGTATTTACCTGAGAGCAGTTAGTTCCCTGCCAGCCAGCTTTGCAGTAGCACCGTCCCATGACGCAGGACCCGTGGCCCGAACACGACGGGTCCACACAGTCCTCTGTCAAACATATACCATAGTTATGAGTCTACCACGGTTTATATGTATGACATGCTGTGTGATCTCTAATTGTGTAAATATGTAAAAAATCACTAAGAGACTGGTTTTTGACATGTCACAATATGAGTTGAAGTTTCGGGTAATTAGAAATGCTTTAAGGATTGTAAGAAATTTATATTAGAAAAAGTCAACAATTCAGGATAAAAAAAATTAAGATATTGATATTATTTCTCATGATTATTACTCATGATTAGAGGTAACATAGAGTCACAATGTTTCAGAATCTAGCCTATTATCATTTCTATTAATTTCTCTTATCTTTTAACACTACCTATTAAATTTTTTTTGTGTAGGCCTTCAAATAACTATTTTGTTGAAAATAGTAAAAACTTAAAAAATGCTAAAATAGCTAATATTTTGTAAAGCGACTAAATAACAATAGATGCAACCTCATAGGGGAAAAAACAATGATTGATTAAAAATACAAACTGTTAAAGACTTTTCTAATCGTTAAGGTTTAACTTTGACTCAATAAGAAACTAGTATACTAAATTATAAACAAGAAATAAAAAGAGTTAAAACTAAAAATCTAAATCAAATAAATATCAACATATTGAAAGGTATTCACATGAAATAATGATGAAGGAAATACGAATATCAACAAAGTTAAAATAGCTTTCTCCAAATTCACCAAGAGATAACCCGAATTTCGTCTGCTCACATCAAACAGTTGAAAGGCACAAACAGCCATTAGTAGAAACAACTTTGTTGGTTAGTCAAAGCGTTGTTTAGAACTTGCTTTTGTTTAGAAGTCCCACAGAACCTGAAGCTTATTCTTGCAAGATGCCTTAGGTTACATAATTCTCAAACTTTATTTAAGTCTGAACAACTCTGTAATATAGTTTATTCCAACCTGGAATTCTCAGTGGGCTTTTAAGTTTGAAGGTGATCGGAAATTTGTTATTGAGCTTTTTACAATTGGGGATAAAAGTGGTTATTTTTGGATAAAATAATTTTGGATTTGTGGAGGTGTTTTAACAAATTAGCTTAATTGGATATGGAAGAATGACATGTTTATTCATATTTTGGTAGAATACAGTACCTATTAATATTTTTTGATTATTATTAGATTTTTAGATATTGTAAAATGAACAATATTGTCAACTGTTTAACAATTACAAAACTAATTATAAATTTAATTACATATTTTTAACAGCTGTATCCTTTTTCGTAATTTGCTATTAATATAAGCTTTTAGCACCTTCAGCATTCCCTAAAGTAACTGACAACGGGGGTTTTGAATGTCAAGGACCAACCTAATTAATTTTGCTCAAGAATAGAGAAAAAAGATACTATTATAAAAGATCACCAAACGATATTTAGTAGTGTTCATTTGTCATGTTAAACATACTATTTATTTAATAGACAAATTACTCATTAGTCCAAGTTTGAGAACGGTTAGCAGCTTTTTGATTGTATACGAATAATTCTGGCTAAGAACTAGCTGATTGTAATCAGTAACAAGACTTATCTTGTCCATAATCTCATAATTGCCTTTAAATACATGTTATGTTGTGTAAGCATCATTATAATAAAGAATTGCCTCCAGCAGCTCTATATAGTTGGGATTTATACCTCAGTATCCAAAAGTCAATGAAGCTACAGACTTGTATAAGGATTTGCGAACTCCTGTTTCTAGGCAAGCACTATAACTACTCAGCTACCTAGCATTTATAGATGTGAATTTGACTTTAGTGGCTTTAGCTTACGCCCTAATTTAATTTCAAGTCCAAATTTCTGTATGATAACATCTGTATGATAGTAAATAATGTGAAATCCCACCGATGTTGCAGGCAGGACCTTTCCAACCCGGCTGGCAGACGCAGGAACCCCTGATGCAGCGACCGTGTCCTGAGCAGTCTGCAACCTGACAGTCGTGGAGGGGAATGTCACACTCCGCGCCTTTCCATCCCTCCTCACAGTGGCACAACCCTCCACCATACTTGCCGTGGTTGGAGCACAGAACTGGACACACACCTGCAGAAAACAGCTGATTGAGGAAAAAGTACAACACTTGACTTGGAAATACTTTTTAAAGACTATAGGAATATCAATACTGGTTAGGGAGTGTTAAGCAGAAAGTTGGACATAAAAAAGCTGTAAATTGAAGGAGGAAACCAACGAGTAAACTAATTGTGAAAAGAGTTGTATTAAATAAAAAATAAATTAACATGCATTAATTGAATGTTGAATTATCACTTAAAAAAACACATAGAAGAATTTTATTAAACTAGGAAAATTTTGTTAAATTTAATTATAAGTTTTTATGTGAGAATTTAAATATATAAGTTACGTTTAATAAGCTAGCAAATCTTTGGTTGGTCTATTTCATCCTTGAATTTTCCTGTTCACATGGGCCTCATGAGTGTGTGTAGAATTTACCAACCAAAATAAGAGGAAAGTGTCAAGAATGAACTGAAGGCTACTCATAAATTTTAGTGGTTAGCAAAACGCAAACCGCCAACATTCCAGCCTGGTTTTCTAGTCCATCACTACTGAGCCAACAGCTCAATATGATTCGACGGATAAACATTTTGCACAAGAAAACCCAAAAACCTCTCAAATGATCATTCTTCACCAATCTAACGAAATCACTACTTGGTCACTACTAAATCATGGAACACTTGAAAAATTAACTTACTTTTGGAACAGTCTATCCCTTCGAATCCATCAATGCAGTCGCACTTGCCCAAGTAGCAGGAACCATGACCGGAGCAGTCGTTGGGACAAGCTGTGGAAATCCCCTCGGCCTCCTCAATGGTCAAGATGACTTCGTGGACCTGCAGATCGTCATTGTACAGTGAGACGTACCACCGGCCGGTGTCTAGATACTGCAGCAGTGTGACGTTCACCAAGAGATGACCATTGGTTGACCGCTTGGTGATCAAGTGGGCCTCCGGATACAGAGATCTGCTGTTCCACTTGTCATTGTCTGCGGCATCTTCAAGGTCATTGGTCTTTGAGGAGGACTCAGAAAACTGACTGCTCCTCTCACCCAGAAATGTTGGACTGAAGTGATGAAGTTGTTCACGTAACCTAAGACCAGACTTAATTTGTTAAAAATCATATACGTAATTTGCAATAAATCAATAGTAAATATAATTATATTGTAAATGGATGCTATACAATTTTAGCGGCTTTCATAGAATACGACGGTTTTGTAAAAAAAAAAAAACTATGGCTACAACTACATGGTGATTGAATGGTTAGTTGTATTTATAAAAATTTTTAATTTTTTTTATAAAAATGCAAATAATGTATACCAAATATGGGACAAAATCGGGATTTTTAAGAAAAATGTCATTAATAAATATAATAAAATAACAATGAAAAGTTAATCATAAACAGTGATACAAGTCAACCCATTTTACTATTTCTACTACCGTACCTATAAATGTAAGATAAACCATAATACACTTATTTTAAAACATCAACCAATAATCATTTTACTAAGCAAATCTTGACTTAAAAATACAAACACAAACACTTTTGTTGAACAAAAACAGTTAATCCACTTTCAACTAGTTGAATCCTCCTTTTAAACTGAAAAACTGAGATAATCCAAAATGAAAATAGGTTAAGGCTAAGTAGAGAAAAGTTTATATTTGCCCTGCCATAACCAAGAGATGATTATAAATACTAGCAATTCTTAGAGTGCACTTAACTAATAATGGGTTTTTGCTTGTGTTGGGTGGTGGAGGGGGAGGGGGGTTGCGCAATAAGTGAGAAGTGCAATTCTGCGGTGGACTGCTCTCCGCCACAAAACCTTGCCTTCATTATGCTATTTACTTGTTGCGATTATGAAAGCAATTCATTTGTGGGATTCATAAACCGTCTTAGTGTTTCTAACTGGTTCTTTTATAGGATTAAAACTGTTTGTGTAACAAAATTACAGTTTTGAATATAAAGGTGAGTTTTTAATATAGGCGTAAATAAAAAATGATTTGTTGACCATGACCATTTACACTATAGATTTTGGTAACCAGCTTTTTATTTGAGTAAACAATTTTATATGATGTTATCTTCAGTTCTATCATGCAATTCAATCAGCTATTTCTAAAGGGTTTCACCCTTGACTGTTGTTGGAAGTAGATGTCGATTACTGATTTATGTAAAATATACAAACCTATCAATGCCAATCAAAACCTATCAAAACCTATCAATACTGTAGTACAAGGTTGCGGCAAGAGAAAAGTGGCAACACCGCTGCCCCAGCAAACCGAAACAGCTGTTGCACAAATTTATAATGGAGCGTATAGGCAATGCTTATGTTTTGTTATTTCTGTTATTTACCATGGCAATGGGCAATGGACATGCCGTTGCGACATTGCCAGTGCCACACACCAACACCGTGGCCTTGTATTAGGGGAGGCTATGCGACTACGCTAAAGTCCCAAGTCTCACCTGGCATTTTCAGATATCAGAGGTGTAAAGCTGACAGCGTGTTGGAAGTCAGACAGGAGTTTATTGGTCTCTCTTTTTATCCTGTGATCTACTCTACCACCTTTCACAAACTCCGAGAAATCATACTGCGTGATGCTAGGGGCGACATTGCGTCTCCCGTAGACAGCAAAGTTGGCACCCCACGGTAGACTCATGTTGAATCTGCAAGAGTGGATCAGTTAAAACTTGTCTCAAATGTAAACATAAAAGTAAGTGTGTAATGAAAATAAATTATAGTTAAACCGGGTATTGGGAAATACTTTACAAGCACAGTGTTGCATTATTGAGGTGTTTCTGTGTTAAAGTGTGTTACAGCATTATGTATCAGTGTAACAGAGGTTTTGCATGGTTCTAATGTTGTAGTGTTACAGTGTATTAATTGGAGTGTTGTTATGGTTTAATGTTCCATTTTTACATGATTGAAGTGTTAATAGCTATTTACCTTACAAGTGTAGTAAGAGCGTTTTTACATCAGGCAGGTTCACTAGTTCACCTAAGTGATGTAAACACACTCTTGCGTAACGTGTAACGTACAAGATTTTACCTTACCCGACAATATACAGGGGGTTACGTACAATATTTTTCATTACCGTATCCATTTCACTCATCTTCTAACAGTAACGTTATTTTACAAACAAAAGCTAGGTTAGGAACATTTTTTAAAGTATAACAATAAAATTCAAGCGCACAGCTGATTTCTAGCGTTAACTGTCGTTGGCTCCATAGTGGTATAATTTTTTAAGTTGAGCACTCAATGTTATTTTACCTAACCCGCCATGTTAAACTTCCCTATCCCAAGCGTGATGTATACAACTTCCTTACTTCTCAAGTGATGTAAAGTTGAAAAAAACTCACTCAGTGATGTAATGAAACCCATTTAAATAACATTGAGTGCTTAACTTAAAAAATATACCTCTATGGAGGCATCAACGTTCAACGCTAGAAATCAGCTGTGCGCTTGAATATTATTGCTATGCTTTAAAGTATTTTCCTAACCTAGCTTTTGTTTGTAAAAGAACGTTACTGTTAGACGATGAGTGAAATGGATAATGAAAAATATTGTACGTAAACCCATATATATTGTCGGGTCAGGTCAATGTTATTTAAATGGGTTTCATTACTTCACCGAGAGAAGTTGTATACATCACGCCTGTGATAGGGAAGTTTAACATGGCGTGTTAGGTAAAATATTATAACAGGTTGCAGTATTTAAGTATTACATTATTGTTATTAAGTAGTGAAGACAGCAAAAATATAATTGATCAGAATTGTCAATTCAAAATTAATATAGAAGGAGATTTCCTTCACTCATATTTGGGTTGAAATACGCACATAGTGGCGTCCCCATCTTAAATAATTGATAATTGATAATTGATAATTTCCATAATAATTCCTACCACTTGCAGTAATCATGTAGACATAATTTCACTGCAATATTAAAATAAATGTGTCCTGTATCTCTTCTTGACAATATAATTAAGTTCTTCAATATTGAATCAAACTGTGTAAAAAACTTACAAAATTCAGTCATTAAAATTAAATTATAGATTAATAAATTTATGTTAAAACTTGAAGGCACTACACACTATCCTACTTCATACAACGAATAAATAACTAAACCTACTTATTCCGGGACAAATAAGTTAGTTAAAACAATTTTGTAACAAAAGTAGTTTTTAAAACTGATAAATTTAGTCAAAAAAACGTACAAGGTTTTAAAAATGTTGCATGCAAAATGAGTTTGTGGCCCTTTTTTAAATAAAGTACAATTATGGCAGAGAACATTGAAAAGAAAATAATGTTTCAGAAGTGAGTTGATGACAGTAATGTGCAAAAGAGAGAAAGAGAGAAAAAAAGAGAGAGAGCGTACTACACTCTGCTTCGACACCCTTTTAGCAGTTTGTATTCACAAGGTTTTAGCTTTTATCATTAACATTATTCATTTTTTACCTTCTGTTTAAATAGGTTGCTAATTAATTTAAAAGTCTTTGCTAATTTTCAAGAATAAAATATTAGATAAAGATGCTGTACCCTGTTACCTATCTAAAATCTATTTAAAGTTTTATCATTGACTATTGGATGTTGTATTAATAGTCAAAGGTTTTATATTGTTTTGAAGATTACAGACTTTTTACAAGGACACAATCAAGGTACTTCACTGTTTTAAATTTATATACTTAAGATTACGATAGAAATCAGAGTCCTTAAACAGTAAATGGATTCCAAGGGATGGTGGGTTGTACTCCATTAGCATGTATACGAGGATATATTTTGGAGGGGTTCATGAATATTTCCCAACCCTCTTAGCTGTTTCTTGTGTCACTGATTTTCTGGTTTGTATCGGTAAGAAAACATCTGTTTGCCATATACATTGTATCACGTTTATGAGGGGTTATGTGCCATTTTTAACTACTAGAGAAATAATTTTTATAAAGATGAATCGCGTAAACCACATAAAATTCCAAAAATATTAAAAAACTTTGGTAACACAAAAAAATTCTAAATAAAATTTAAAAACGTCTGACAACTCTCTCGGTGAGAAGAAACGATCTCTGGTTAAACTCAGAGCTGGTAAAACAGAATTTGTCACTGAAAAAGTGGGAAAAGAGGAAAAAGTATTTCTTGCCAGAGAACTTTAGATATGATAGGTCATTGTTTTTTAGATGACTAAACCAACAACTTATGTGGTCTTGGAATCACTGCTACATAATATTATCTACTAAAAGTGATTTGTGATTGGTAAAATTTGAACCAGGGTCTCCAAGACAAAAGTTTTACCCTCTAAACTCTGGACAAGCCTCGCCTGATGTGGAAGCATAGTCTTTGTGATGGAACCTCTTTCTTGACCCTCCTTCATCTGCAAAGGGGTCTGACTAATGGTTTAAGGCCAGAGCCAGTTCCAGGTTAGAAGGAGATTTGAAAAATTACAAAAAAATATATTTTGTAGTGTGTCAGGAGACAGGTTCCATTTCATACAGACTATTTATAGTAATTTTGTTTTTAGTTATTAATTTTATAACAAAAGTTTATTTACAAACTGTTGCCTGCCTTAATAATTATTTAATTCCAAAATTATATTAATAACTAAACATTATAGTTACAGTAAATTTTCAAAGTTTGATGGATAACTTGATTAGTGAGTTAAACCCCATGGTAATTTGAATCTTTTTCAGTATTTTCTAATAAGAATTATATTGTACCTACGGTGGGGTTTGGAGTTGTTGCCAAGTTCAGGATTGATGGACAACAAAACTAACACAAAGCACCAAACACCAGTTTAATTAATCAAATCAACACATTTTCCCCACAAACACACATTACCTGATGAAGGCTGGTTGCTTGTTCCTAAACTGGATGTTCCAGAACTGGGCCGGGGGGATGGTGGTTCTCTGAGGGGCTCTGAAGGTGTCAATCTCCAGATCAAGCTGAGGATATTGCTGTTGACTCTGGTCACTGGAAGCAGCCAGGCTGGGGCTCGGCCCCCATCCTCCCGTAGTGCTGGTCGATAGTGACTCTACAACAAAACATGAGCATAATCATTGAAACCATTGGACCAAACTGCAAAAACTGTATCAATTCCCATGGCAATCTATTCCCAAGAAGATACAAAGCCTCGCCAAATAACAGCTTACACTTCCTCCAATCATGTGTGTTTTATTATTGGCTCTCAGCATTTTCATGTTTTTTTTGCTATATCAGGCTGGATAGAGTGGTTATAGTGCTTGTCTGACAATCAAAAGGTTGCTAGTTTTTGATCCTGATGAAAGTCAGTAGCTTTTTGTTCTAGGAAAATGTGCCCAGCTAACGTTGATAATAGGACTTGTAATACATGCCTAAATAAACAGCTGATGATGTTAGTCAGCAGAACAAAGAAAATACCCCCTCCGCAGCAAACCTGCAGACTAAGCGAATTTCCTGGGCAGGATTTCTACTAAAATATTCTCTAAAAATTGTCAGATTTATTTCCTATTAAAATTACATTAATTTTAGTGAGTACTTAGGTTTGCTGCTACAGGGAACATACTGTTTGTTAAAATATATCCATATACAAGCAAACTACAAATATATCGCACTAGCGGACACTCACACACACACACACATATATATGTACACAAATTTGAATGGATGGTGTTTTTGGCCTCTGGCTGGGGACCTCAAAACGAAAAGTAAATCGGTTCCGGGTCTAGGTCTTACCATAAGACATACGGTAATAGCTTATTTCCTATATGGGAAATTCGCTAAAAGCTACTCAGCTCATCTGACTTCAATCTACTCTCAACTTGCACTCATATTTTTAGCTTAAAATAAACGCATCTAGGAGGTAAATTGCTGTCTCAATTTAATAATAGTAAATAAGACTTTTCCTCTTTCCACCACTTAAGATTTCCAAACTTACTATATTCATTTATATTATAAGAAACTTTACCTTCAGTAGGTGTTTGAACAGATGCCGTCGAGTCTCTAGCCATTTGGTCATCAGCAGCAATCACTTTGGCGTCTTCCACCAGAATACAACTGCTCGGATCCAAATTCGATCTCATCGAATTTACTGCTGCAACATATATCCCCTCATATAACTACTGAGTTTCATCTATAAATAATGGTTCTTATAAAACCTTCTTTTTAGTCAACATAAGTTTGGTTCTAGATTGATCTGCTTAGAATAAATCAAATAAATGATATTATAGTTTACAGTTTCTAATAATTTTGTGATATGTTAATAAATTAAGTTTTCTGGTACTAACTGATGAACAGAAATGGAAAAGTTCAACAGAAAAGAAGCTTAAAATAAACAATCTTTAAAATACAGTAATCAGAAATTCCAATTGTCAGCAGTGATGAAATTAATACAGTATTTTAATGAACCTACCCTAATTATACAATTAATTGTTTAAATTAATTTTTGAATCGGCAATATTCTTGTAGACAGAAACCTTACAAAAATAGCTTTCCAGGAATAGAAACAGTAAATTTTGGATTGAAGGTATGGCTTCTCAGAGGGGCTCATGAAAGTGAAATGGGTCGGAATAAACAAACAAGAAAAGAAATAAATCTTTCACCCAGGAATCTTCTTTCCAAAAATTCTACACGCTTCTTGGAATAGAACTAAAAATTGATTGGCTAAAAGAGCAACACTAACACATTAACATTGAGAAACAACGTTTGGATGGTAAACAAATTGGAATAAATTCGCGTTTTGTTGGCAAAGAGACGATGCATTTTTTAAATCATACTTTGCTATTAATACAAAGTTTAAATCAACCAATCTTCCCCAAACACAAGAAGCTCATTACCATGATTACCGGTTACGAAGGGAAAGAATGGGAATCATTTAAATGTACTTAGCAGAAAAACGAGATGAAAGTTTAGAAAGGGGAAGGGATTGCTGGAGTCGATGTCAAATGCTTGAGGAATGACACAAAAACTTTTAATTACTGGGAGCTTTGTAATATGGCAGTAAAAGAAACGCCTAAATAAGCTTTGTCTCCTTTATGGGACTAAGAGAAATGGTTCTCTGCGTTATTTGAAGAGAGGAACTTTCAGCAGTATAAATTACTTTTTTAATGAGAAACTACTACTAATGCATTATTCTTTCTTATTAAAACTCTGCAGGATATTGAAAGAGACTGAAGGAAGTCAGTTTCATTCTCAAAGGTCTGACAGCTCTCTATCTCCACATCTACCGTTTTGACGTCTTAACTTCCTTGATGGAGTATATCAGGTAATCTAAACTATCAGAGTTTACATTTGACGCAAAGGTCAAACAAGTGTAAAACGATGCTGAAATAAAATTGAAAAGTCGTTCAAGTATAGTTTGATCAAGATTATGTTTAGATTGTGGTTATAATTTAGTTTGTGTTTGTTTAAGATTATGTTTCGGTCAGTTAAAATTAGGAATAGATAAAACGTACTCCCTTGTTTAGGCTATGATGAAATAACAGATTCGATATATCTACTTAAGAAATATAAATGAGGACGTACCAATAAAAAGGACAATGAAATTCTGGTTTCAAACAATGTTATCGTATTTGAATAATTGTGTGATTAGAATGAAATTTTAAAATCCTGCTGGATAAAGACTGGTGGCAGTGGCAAGACCTTGTTAAAAGTTGTTAAATCAAGATGAAGTTGAAGGAAGTATTTTAAAACTCACACAACAGAAACACATTTCAAGTTCTGCCAAGTTGTTGCAAGTTTTAAATAACAAACAATTTTTGCCGTTCGTATTTAAACTTTCTACATTTGGTAAAAAAGTTAAGCCCTCTGAAAGTGTATTTATGATATTTACTGCAGTTCAAGCTCGGATTGAAGTTGAAATATGAACTTTGCTTTTATTCCTCAAGGTGAATGATTAAGAAACGAAATACTGGATAGAAGCTGTTTGTGGCGTTTGAAACTTAGAACATCTTTTGAATGGTTGGTTCATAACTGAACAAATGGTTTTAAGTCTTTTGATATATCTTTCTTATATATTATTATTATTCTGACATATTCTTTTTACTGGCTTGTCATTTATAAATGTATTAAAATAGGTTTTATAATTAGGACTATAAATTACTTTTTTTAACCAAAATACACTTGTTGGACTGAACTTAAGCCAAGTGTGTGTGAACTAATTTAAAGCAATTAACCATTTTAAAAGATCTTAACAAATAATTGAGAATCAGTATCAGTGTGTTTGAGGAAACTTGATACACAATTTTGAATTACAACTTTATTGTAACTATCCAACTTTACAATCCAAATCATAAACGTAAACCTACATCAGTCATGGAGGATTTCAAGCCGTCAATTCCGGACTCAAAGGCGTATTTCATAGGACTACCGATTGTTTCGATCCGACCCAACAGATTGACATTCGATATAACGTAAGGTTGACTTTAGATAGTAAAGTAAAACCTCATTAACTCGACAGTCAAAAACTGACAGGGCGAACTCAAAAAAGCAAATTTTCAAAACATGTTAAATCCAATAAATTTTTGACCATTTAGAATTTCAAGAGTGTTTACTCAATCTATAAAAATAATCATTTATGTAATACGTTTGATGAATATGTACAAATTAGTCAATTATGTATACATTTATTAAAACCCAATATACATTTCAATGTTCTGGATAACTCGACAACCTCTGGGTCCACGAACTGTCAAGTTGGTTAGGTTTTACTGCTACCAGATCAGGGGTTTTTGTGGCCTAAACCAAAATAAATTTAGACCTTACCTAATCTGACCTAAAATTCTTGACACCCTGACCACCTTGACGAACCCCCCTTGGACAATGGCAATGGGGAAGTAAAAATCATGGCTTGGGCCTTACCTGGCTCATCATAATTGAGACCTAACCTAACCTTACCTAGAGTCTCAACCCCTAACAAACCTGACGAACCTCCAGTATTAGGGGGCGTGGTGGTGAAGATGAAGTACGAAAGTTTTTTTTTTTAACAGTTTACCTTACAAAAAGCTTAACAGAACATGGGCGCTCGCAGGATTTGGAACAGGGGTTGTGCAATAGCACAACATCCGGGGCCTTCCCCGGGAAAATGTAATATAGTGTTTCAAAACGAATTTTTACGCTATTTGCACCCCCTTGCACCCCCCTGTGGGCGCCCATACAACAGAACACAAAACATCCAGATCAAATAAGATCCTAATGCTCATTAAATAGTTAAGTATACCGACAACAAGTACACTGACCTCCGAAGTAGGCGAGCATAGCGGTGAGGACGACAGACACGAGGATGAGCGCTATACTGCAGCATTTCCATGAGCAGCGGTGGCGACATCGCTTGTCTATGTGGAAGCGAGAGGGAGAGTAAGGTGAGTATTGGGGCGCCGAGCCACTGGGTCGTAGAGGGAACACAGGCATGACGGCAGGAGGTGCTGAAGGAGCTGAGACTAGCACACCTCCACCGGCCGTCGTCGTGGAGGACAGCGTCGAGCCCAACCTGCAAAACAGAGGTTTGGGTTATTAAATGAATTATACCTTAAATGTATGAAGGTACAATTGCAGCATTGTGATACTCGATTCTCCTGTATACCACTGTCAAATACCCCACAATAGATGGTGAGCCAATTAATATTTGGAATTAAACAAACTAGATATAAGTTGGATACGATAGGCTTATTAATAAGGTGATAGCTGTCGATATATAGTGTATGACCAATGTTGTTTCGTGGATACCTGTTATACGAACTGGACAGTGTTCTTTGTATTACAGGTTTTTTGTGTGTACATTAACCGTTTGATGAAAGTGCCACACATCTCATAAGCGAATGCGATGCACTTTCTAAGGAGAGTTGGACTCTTTGAAAACTCTGAGATTAACTCATCCAATTTCTTTGAGATTGTAATGATTTCACTCGATATGGTTAAAGGGTGCATCAGACAATGTTATGCATTGGAGTGGCACAGATAGTCAAAAGGCGGAAGTGTAAAAGGCCCTGGTTATCCGCACAATAAACGCAAATAAAGATCATTTTGGTCATTGAAATAAAAGATAAACATTACTAAATGAATTTTGGGTATGTTGGAAAATAGATTCCGATTGATGGGGGGAAATTTAAGTAGTTCAAGTTTTATTCTCTTCAACAGAAACATAACCTAGTAGAGCACTAATTGTGAGGGATCTAAATCCATAGTGGGGTGCCGCATACGAGTGGATGAAACAATAAAGAAAATTGTGTTACAGCACACTTCTCAAACAAAGTTGGTAAATAAAGTTTCAGCAAATTATTTAAATTAAGTCTTGCTGTATTATGTGCAGTACAATACGAAAGTGGGACAAATTTACTAGATAACCCAACCTCGTCGCCTTAGAGATCTATTGACACAGAAGGTTCAAGTTGTTGCATTTATTTTTATTTGAAAACAACAAATAACGATAATTAATTTATGGTTTGAGGTGAGGGCTGTTATAATCTAAGTATGATTAACTAATTGTATAAACTAGTTTTCGAGCAACAATGAGTAAATTCTCTCCCTTTTTTGCTTCATTTTCAATTAGTGTGAAAGACTAGGAACAAAGGTATGCTTTCAGAAGAAATAATAATGAATAGTTGTTGAGAAAGGTTGCCGTAATAGAATTTAGCCCATTGTTGAAAAAAGCCCTGATTAACATAGCTATTAGAAGAATTTCAAAGACGGCGTTTCTTGCTTTAATCAACTTCACAAGTTTCTCACAATCAGATTTTTACTTAGTAAATGGTTAATTGTTGTATCAAACATGTATTTTGGTCTTTACCAAGTGGGGTATATTATTAAAAGGCATAGTTATTTTAAATAAAGAGTAGTTTCAAGACAAAATCCTCGTTGCAGTGTACAATGGATTACAAAATTATAAAGTGAATTCAACCAAATACTCATATTATCCTGTAATAAGAAATTTACTTGGATTACTGGCTGTTTTAGCACTTTATTTCATATATCAAAATTAATAATTTACTTAAAACCCCTCTAAGATTATATTGCATTTGAACATTTTTTTAGAGTTGATGGCCGTTATTTTAATCATTAAAACATAACTTTTTTAACAATTCATTCCAAATAAAAGTACTGCTAAGGAAATGTTACTTTCTGTCGTTGGTACAATGAACCTTTGAAGCTAAAGAGCTGATACTCTTTTGTGGTCGAAAACAGAACAAAGTAAAACATCATCTGTGAAGAGTACCCAAAGAATGGGCTTTATATACAGTTTGTTAATGGGGGTGGTTTGTTGATGATTATTATGGGTCGTTGGAAAGAATTCCTCTGTGATTGTGTAGGCTAATTTTGATGCTTTATGAAGAATAGTAAAAACAAGAGTTTGGGAACAGATAACGCATCCAATGACGTATTAAATATTTTTCAATGAGTAGTGTAGGTTCCTTAATTTTATCACGTTATCAATTACCAAGTTAATATTCTTCGATATTTTTTAAAATTACGAATATAAAAAATTGACTTTGAATAACGAAACAGACATCCCATTTAAATGGACCAGCTACAACTAAATGCACGGTAATCTAAAAGAGGAGATAGTTGAACAAAAAGCGTTAAAATAAAAGAGCACATAATACTATTTTTGAAGATTCTATTTGTATTTTTGTTTATCCTTCTATGTTAGTTGGAGGGCGCAGAAAAGATAAGATGGTTTACAATAAATTGTCCCTTTAGTTTTGAGACATCATGACTTAAGTTTCCGTACCAGAAGAACATGTTACAACAGCCTACCCTAACAGTAGCACTAATGACCTCTTTTTACTGCAAAACGGACAACAACCTTAAGAATGTTGTGGGGTGTCTACTTTATGTTAGTTTATTTATGGTCAAAGTTAAAACTAAATACAATTACTCCAAACATAATTTATGACATACAATTACTCTAACACTATAACACTAGGCGTGTAGCTCTATTAGAGGTTAGCCTAGCTAGAAGAATCAATCACTTAGTGCCAGAAAAATTTGTTTATAATGATAAGAGGAATTGGTCAATTACCTTTAAATATTCAGTGACGTTTTAAAAAAAATGCGACTGGTATTAAAAAATATAATTTATGACAAAACCAAGCTTAAAATACTTTAGAGACACCCACTTTAATTCTAACCAACAGATCAAATTTCACGTTTGTTTAAATGCAAGCAAAAGACAGCTTTGCACAAAGATTTGCTCATATTAAGTTTAATTAGAGACAACCTAGTTACAAATACAACTCGAGTCTTACCACCGCAATCCCCGGGCCTAATTATACTCCACAGCATCTTGTATTCTCTTTCAACTGTTACTCTACGGGCGAATTGTTAATCGTTTGTATGTTACAGATTTAATTTAATCCTGATTTTTATTTGTAATATAATTACGATAAATTTAAATTTTGATGTAAAGAGAGATGCGATCAAGAAACAATTGTCTAAAATATCTAAATTTTTTCAAAATCATGTCGACTTAGTACTAGTAGTTAGTATAAGCCGAAAGTGAGGATGAAGTAAAATTATTGTGTGACTTTTATTTTAGGGATTTGTAGTACAGAACAATTTTTCTTACCAGAAAGACTACAAGACTCCTTTTTAATTTTTAGATGGATGGATCTACAGCTTAAAGTGGGAACACTAATACAAAAATGATGACCTATACAGGGTGGAAAAAAGTTAATAATAACGATAAAGCATGGTATAAAGTCACTGGTCATAAAACAATTTAAAACATTAATCAGTGAGACGCTACCAAAGAAGCACAATACTTATAGTTCCATGTAAGCTACCTTCTCAGGGGGACGAGTCGGTAGGAGTCAGAAGAAAATCTTGAATGTAAGCACAGGTTGATATTAAAATCAAATCAAGTCTTTATTAGACGAATACAATGCCGCAAATTTGGGCTCAAACGGACAACTGAGTAAAAAATGTCAGCCGTTAAAAGATTTCTTGAATTTGCAATGTAATTTTGTACGCTACCTCCCCAGGATGGTGCCTGCTAGCAGTTCATATCACAATCATACATGTAAAGGTCTTTATTACAAAAATACAATGCCGTATATTTAATATATAAAAAACAACAGAGCAAAAATATTGCAGCCGTTTAAAGACTCAATACAATATTACAAATTCAAACAATCTTTGAGCGGCTGCCATTTTTTCACTCGGTTGCCCGTTTGAGTTTAAGTTTATGGCATTGTATTTTACTAACAAAAACTTTTTATTTGATATGCATATAAACCTACGCTTACATTTAATTCCACTTTGTCTCGAACATAAAAAATGATCTCGAGCCAGCAAAGCCTAATTTTCGACCATAGGTACGAAATATACTGTTACAATCAATTGTATATTCCAGCATTTTTGTGTTGGAAACGTACAAAATTTTTGTATTTGTAAAGTATTGCATTATTAATATTGATTCACCAACACTATCTAAAAAAAAGCGCCCACTTGAGGCCTGTTTAATAAGCTGTGTAAATGTGATTAATTCTAGATTAAACGGCATTTCTTGGGTGACTGCTTACAATTACAACAAAATATCATATTCTTCAAAATTTCCAATTGAGTTTGCTAAGCTCACATTTACAGCTGAGCTTTCACGAAGATTTAATTAAATTCAATAGAGTTTGGAAGGATAAAATGTAATCTCCACTGTGTGAAGCAGCGTATAATTTGCATTTTCCCTTGTTAAAACAAACCTCTTCGAATTAACATCGTAGAAAGAACAATAAAAGATGTGTTTGCGAGATTATTACAGAGTTTAATGAAAGTGGAATTTTCAGGAGTAATTGATGAAGTTCTGCGAATCTAGAACTAAAAAAAAAAATGTAAATTTGAGTTTCGAAGTTGCATTCTAGTTAGAAGTTAATTCCCACTTTTTCTGAGGTTTATAAAATTGAGCAGTGCTTAGTTCATCACACTACACAAATCAATCTTTGATATATTATCAATAACATCCATATTTTTTAAGAATTTGCATGCCTTTTATACGATAAACGTTTTTATTGAGGGCCTAATACAATTGTTGGACCACAAAAAGTTTGATAAAAAAAACTCAATGCTGCATTACTGTCTCAATAATGAAATGGTAAATATAAATTGCATATAATTAGCTATATAATATGTATAATTTATAACAACTCAGCTACTTGGCGTTTTAAGCACTCTTTCAGAGTGATTAAATTATTTCATACTGTTTACAATCGATAATATCCCATATTTAGACCACAATTAATCCCTTCTACATACTGAAAAGTAAACAAGTACATATTAACCAGGGGTTTTATGGTGATACGGTATCGTGGGGTAATATAGCTACTTCAAAAAGTAGAAAATTGAATCCAAACCAGTTTATCAATAATGTAAATTCTCTTGTAAACACAAGCGGTGATCACCGGCGATGGCGTTATCGATGTTATTACCGTTATCACACGCGTGATCGACAGACACGCGCGTGCAGCCGTGTGACGTCACCCCCCCCCTCAACCCCCCCCC